AAAAAAAAAATTAAATTAAATTAAAAAATAAGCTAAAATAGAACAAAAAATAAATGAAAGAAATAAAATTAACAAAAAATATGAAGTAAAGAAATAAGATACAATTAGAACATTAAAAGTAAAATAAATAAACAAAATAAAATAGTAAAATTAAAAAATAAGTTAAAATTTATAAAAAATTAAATTAAAAATTCCCAATTAAATTAAATTAAAAATACCCAATTAAAAACCACTTAATTAAAATAAAAAAATTACAAAAACAACTAAATTGTATTGTATGCTTCAAAATGAGATTCCTCTGTATAGATCCAAATTTTAATAATACATATCGTTACCTTAATATAGAAAGGCCCTAACTCATATAGTCGCTGAAATGCAAAAAAACGTAACCGTAATTTCTCTGCCTTTCTATATTAAGGTAACGATATGTAATATGTATATATGTACGTACATATCGTCGTTTAAAGTACAAAACCGCGTCTCGTTATTCTGCAAAACTGCGTAACTGAATTTTTTTTCAAAAATTGGATTTACTCACACAAGCTCTTGGCTCAATCCTTATCCATTGTCCTGAAATATACTAGCCAGAAATGCGATTTCTTTACAAAAAAAAAAACATTTTGAAATAGAGTGTTTTTACTCTCTAGAAAATAATTTATGCAACCTTATACATGCGGCTTTTCATTTTGTTGATACGCGGTTTTGTACTTTAAACGACGATATGTACTTGTATCTATAGTAAAAAAAAAATTAATCAATTTTTTACATACCCGTTTGTAGCCTGCTCTTAAGCACATCGGCTGGCATACCGACCAACCAATAAGCTATACCAGCGGCGCCACCAGCAAAAATCGTTGACGCAACGCTGACCTTTTCGCTGCCAGTCTGCTCTTTGGCCTTATCTTGTATATACTCGTATGCGAGAAAATAAAAGGCATTTGCGGGCAAATCTAAAGTGGAGGCACATAAGGAAATAGATATGGATTTAAAATATTTTTTGAAATCAAAGCTAAAACCAATGCAACACATACTTCGAGACACACTTACATAAGAAAGTCGACTTGAACTCTCCATACAAAAATAAATAAATTGCACTTTCACACAAATGAATTGAAATTTGGTTAGTAATTGTTTAAAATGGTTAATGAGGATGAAAAGAGGCAGTATTTTAATGTTTTTTCCTCAATTTTTATTAATTGTACATACACACTCAAGCACTTAAAACACAAAATACAGTAACTTAAAAAGCTATGCAGTAAAATTTTAGTTTAATTAATGGATTAATGGCGCACATATGTACATATGCATGGCAAAAAAATAATATGGAAAAATATTTATTTGAGAGAGGAATGTAGGCAATGTAGGCAATGTTTTCTGAATTGGAACTCAATGCGATAAGCTACATCCTTTCTGTACGTCACTTCCTCCATGCTGATGCTGCTGTTTTGTTGTTTGTGCACGCATAGTATGTGCATACATAAGTTTGTACGTATATAAGTGTACATATATGGAAATTGTGACTTTATCAATATATAGTACAAAACATAATTTTTATCGAAATAATTATACAAACGTTGTAGAGTGTTCTGTAGTAGCAAAACGACACTCGAACCCAGTGAGCATCCAACCGTATGGACGGCAAGCCACGCGACAGTAAGAAAAAGCTACTAGCGCCAGTAAATTATACTGATATTATATGAAAAACAAAAATACTAAAAATAAAAACAAATCGTTCAGTGCTAAAAAGCAAAATATTGTTTAATAATACTTGGCAAATCTGCGAAGCGGCAACGTAAAACGTGAGAACACCGCGCTATAAAGATGAAATGGATTATTGTGGCGCTAGTGCTGGTGCTGATAGTAAGTACAGTATGCGAAAAAATTGCTAATTCATGCCAGCAAAATGAGCGAAAAATAAAAATGTGTAATTTTTTTTTACAAACATTTAAAAGAGCAGTATTTTCTAAAACGGTGCTGCACTCAATGAATTAAAAATGTGTCGTTAATTTGAATTCTTACTCAACCTACATAAGTTACCATTTTTTCCTCCCACTCTCGCCAACAGCAAATCGGCGTTAATGCAGCGCGCGTCAATGCCAAGTCGCAGGTGAAAAATAATAACAAGAAGCATGCAAATCAGCACCAGCAACAGCTTAAGAAGTCAATCCACACAGCTAGCGGCGCTTTGCATGCTGTCAAGCGTGCTCACAATGAAGTGAGGCCATCACCGACGCAGCACCGAACACGAACACAGCATCAGCAGCGTTTGCAGCGAACGGAAGTGCCGCCGTTAGTGTTAACGTCGTCGTCGCCAACGCCGCCGCACGAGCCACAACTTGAGATTGATACGCTGCAATGTCCAGTGGATTGCGTCTGTCAGTATGAACACTTCAACGAATTGCCCATATCACGTTGGATACAATATATGCAAGCCAATCGACCAGGTAGCAGCGATACAGTGGCAGACGAGGAGGATATTTGGCAATACGATCGTGATGAACGCTATGAACAGACGTTCAGCAGTGGCGAGAGCGGTGATGAAGATGATAGCGATGCGTTTTTAACGAATCCCTTCATGAAGCAGGCCACATGTATAATTCAAGAGTGGACAAATATCGAAGAATTGATACAAATGCTGCCACATGATTTGCATGCCCTCGTTTTGCTTTACACAAGTAGCGGAAGAAATAAAAGTGGTAAGTAAGTATTTACAATGTAAATGTGGAGATTAGAATTATAAATTTGTACATATGGGCATGGGTTATGTTAGTTTTTCTGCTAGCATTTAAAAGCTTTGTAGGCATATCGCTATTCCACATTTCATTCTTTTACTTCAATGACTAATCTGTAATCAAATTTCTATTTCAAACAGTAAATTTGAGCACTCTACACCCCCTCAACCAACTGACCACTTTGGAAGTACGCGGCGGCCTCAATCGTTCGTTGCGCATTATTTTCGATGAACCGCTCATTTTCCTGCAACATGCCAATTTTGAGTCGGTCACGTTGCTGGGCAGCGAGACATATAAACGCCCAAAAAATCCTGTACATCCAAAGGACAGCTTTGATTATAAGCCACGCAGCGAAACGTATGATGATGTAGACGCAGATGGCAATCGCTTTGCTTTCGCTCCTTTAGATGATGAAATGGACGATTACATTGTACCTTACGATATCTATAAACAGGAATTGATAAAGGCACGCATGCCAACCTTTTATGCCTGGGAACACTTAGAAGTGTTACGCATACATGACTGTCAGCTCAATGAACTGCAATGGGAGATGTTCGATGGGCTGACAGCCCTGGAACACTTATCGCTCGAGCGCAATGGCATTGCTGAAGTGCCACCATTTTCCTTCTACGGCGCTATGCACATACAAACCTTATCGCTAGCGCATAACTACATACGTGATTTGCATTACCGCGCGCTTGCTGGCCTTTTGCGGCTGGAAGTCCTCGATTTGAGCGACAATCGCTTGGAGAAGTTGAGTGAACGCAGCTTTCCGCCATTTCCGAAGCTAGTACGCATTGATTTTCGCAATAATCCTATACGTTATATATTGTCAGCTAGTTTCTGGGTTATGAATTCAACGCGCAACATCGACTTTGATTCGACATCAGTATCGTTGCAGTTGCGCAACAATCAACCGTTCGAATCGTTGCTGCAGCTGGAGACGCTGCATATCGGAAATGTGTCAATTGGCAATTTGGAGCAGAATATGTTTAAGGTAGGCAGACGTACATATGTACATACAAGTTGCGTCTGAGGCATTCAATCACAAATTGATTGCTTATTTGCAGGCAGTTCAGTTTACAATTTAAATAACATATTTCAATTGCAGGGTTTAACGGCACTTGAGCAACTTACGCTGCGCGGCAGCATACGCTCTATCGAGTTTGACGCATTCGCCGGTCTGATAAAGCTGCGTGAGCTTGAGCTCAGCCACTGTGGCATACAAGAGATATCAATGGACGCGCTAATGGACTGCAGAAGCCTGGAAATACTTGACTTATCTTACAATAACCTCTCCTACTTTCCGCCTGGCTTGCTTGATGACCTCTCCAGCTTGGAGGAAATTTATTTGCAAGGCAATCAATTGCGCACACTACCCGTCACATTCTTTCTGCGTCCAAAATTACGTTTAGCTCGGCTAAGTGAAAATCCATGGCAATGCAATTGTGACATGTATAACTGGCGGCCGAAAATTACCAATCAAGAGCGCGGACCACGAGCCAAGCGTTGTATTACGGACTACCAAACGGGGGCACAAATCTCTTGTCGACGCGTCGATAGCTACGTCTATGACAATCGCTATGCGCCACGTTGCAACAACCACAATGATAGAAGTGTATTCTATGTTTTGCGTAAGCAATTAAAATGTGGACCCGGACGCATTGTGACTTCAAAGCGGCAGTCGCAATCGCTTTTTTATAATAACGTGTTGCAGAGGCAAGCAGGAGAAAAGCAACGTATGCCACATTGGCGCAAAATTGAACAGAATAAATTGAAATTAATGCAAGGAAAAAATCATACGCAGTTACATACATATGGCACAGCGAGTGCTAGAAGTAGTGGAAATCAATTACACGTATTCAGGGAAGCGCACGCTAACGCAATAACGCAGCGTACCACACTGATGCATACGGTACAACGGGATCAACCAAAGCGGATGGAAGAGACGATCGGGGATGCAGACAATAATATATCCAACGAAATATAGAATATAAGTCATGTAGAATAAGATAGCGGGTTATATGGTATTAAGAGGTTTGCTAAAGCCTACGCCATCTACAATTGGCTGGATAAGTAAAGATAAATGGTGACGATTAAGAAAAGTTAATCAGTTTGAATAATGTTATTTTAGAAACCTAAAATCGATATCTATTGCCCAAATGTAATCGTTTATTTTTATTTTTATTTGCGATGCTAAAAATGGTATTATTAGACGGCTACGTATGTTATACTGAATGCAATATTGATAATCCTAACTTGAAAAGCAAATTTTTAATTGCGACATTTTTAGTATAGTTAGTTTCTAAATGATATTTTTTACAAATAAAACATTCTTTAATCAAAATGTTTGCGTTATCATTCAGACCCATTCGTCGGCGGGTACACACATTCCTCACTCAAGCTCACTTACCTCGCAGCAGCGTCGCACAGCTGCCTTTATAAACACTACGTATACCGCCTTCCTTGTACAGCTGGACGGCTGTATCCAACATGCCCTTGTATTTTCGTTCGCCACCAGACGCCTGTTGCACTTGCAGCAAACATTTTATACGCTCACCGGGCGCTGTGATAACCGTGGACAATAGGCCAGAGAATGAGCCAGCAATTGCGATTTGCGTATAATTCAATTTTGTATTTTCTCCAGTTTGCTGAACGCGTTTGCCCAGCGAATAGCCAGCAAAGCATAATGCAAATATTGGCGCAACACCAGTAAGTGGCGCCGACATGCCTTTGTAAAGCCCTTTTACACCTTCATTTTTTATCGTTTTAGCAGCACAGTCAAAGGTACCTTTGTACAGAGGTTGCTGGCCAGGCGCAGGACGTGGCATGGTTTGGAGACGCACCTAGACGCGTAAAGTAATAAAAAAATGTGTTGCAATCTTATGTTACATTGGTAATGAACTTGTACTAACTAACCTTAATGGTGTCCAATGGATGCCCTGTGAGTACATTGCAAATGCCACCAAAACCGCCGCTGAGAAAAGCTTTAAAAGGATTTGATTTGCGCTCCTGTGTTGGTGCTTCTGACATTCTTTTATTGTTTTTTTTTTTTAATTTTTTTGTCAATTAAGAATTGTTCATGCTATGATGTACTATCTACTAAACTAACANATTTTTATTTTTTTGTCAATTAAGAATTGTTCATGCTATGATGTACTATCTACTAAACTAACAGATTGAAATGAGATATGTAAGTATGTGTTCCACTTAATGTGCGTACAATTGACCTTTGTACTTGACAATAATTCGCGCACAAATGGTTAGGACGAATTCATAACCAAGAATCAATTATGTATCTCGTTTTATTAATTTAGCGATAGGACTAAGCTATTTTTAGTTCATCTAAGGACACTGCTTTGGCACTGAGTTGTTTTTCCTCCAGATGCACTATGTTTAATGGTATTTTTAGAGCATTCCAAAGGATTAGGCTGAAATATTTTTTTTGCACTTTCACTACATTACCCGGTTTAAAGAGGTAGGATTTATTTGGCTTTTGCTTTCCTTGCAGACGTGTGATGCAGAAACCTGTTGCTGATAACGTGATGCTGTGGATTTGGAATAGTTCTTTGCTGATGTTGAACGAAAATCACTGGACCAACAGGGCAGCAAATTTAAACGTCATTAAAAATGCCAAGAAAAGCTATCGATTAATCTTATTGCGAAGTAATCGATTATTTTTCATTTAAAAATATTGCACAATATCTCATGCACCCAGCACAAAATTACAGTCAAGCTTCTTTATAAAGTATTCAATGGTTCAGATGTCTTTATTGTAAACTTAATAATAGAGAAATCGCGGTATTTTTCAGCTTTTATATGCAATAGCCAATAAGTTTGAGTTACACTCTTTCACACCTAAAAAATTCATGTAACAAATTTAGAGATTTTTGAAAATTAATTTGCCGATTTGCGATCTTATCTTGTTATCCANTAGAAAAGCTATCGATTAATCTTATTGCGAAGTAATCGATTATTTTTCATTTAAAAATATTGCACAATATCTCATGCCCCCAGCACAAAATTACAGTCAAACTTCTTTATAAAGTATTCAATGGTTCAGATGTCTTCATTGTAAACTTAATAATAGAGAAATCGCGGTATTTTTCAGCTTTTATATGCAATAGCCAATAAGTTTGAGTTACACTCTTCCACACCTAAAAAATTCATGTAACAAATTTCGAGATTTTTGAAAATTAATTTGCCGATTTGCGATCTTATCTTGTTATCCACCAGCTTTATAGAGGAATGGGCCTATTTTCAGCTTTCATTTGCAATGGCCACTAAGTTTGAGTTACACTCTTCCACGCCTCAAAAACTCATGTAATAAAATTTGAAAATTAATTTGTTGATTTGCGATCTTATCTTTTTATCCACCAGCTTTAACCTGTTCGTATACAAATGCATTAGCGAATTCTTTAACCTCTTGCTTCTTTGATGGTCTAGAAACAGGAAGATGCCTACCATGTACGGCGGTTGTTGTTGTTGTTGTTGTAGCGGCTACAACAACCCCGCCCAGGACGGTTGGTATCTCAGTCGTTGTCGTTAAGTTCCACTAACGGCAACC